CACAAGTACGACTACTGAAAGCTTCAAAATCGCACTTCAAGAATCTTATGGAGTAGAAAGAGGTTCACCACCTCTCTCTCTCTCCCTGCGTCTTTGCCTTTTCATCTTTTCGTTTGTCAGAAAGTGCATCACATCACCGATGAACTGTAGATCAGCAGGTTATCCTCATGTTAAAATATCAGAATGAAATGAAACGAATTCCCTCGTTTAACAGTCTGGAAGCAATTTATACATTCTTTTTCCCGATAAGAGTAGGAGTTCGTGCGCACTTTACCAAATCTCTAGTTGCATGAATTTTCTATCTCCCCGAGAAATTTCAGTCCCAAATATACATAATGGCAAACCTCAGTCTAATCCAGAGAAATGGAAATCGTTGCTACGCCTTGAAATTCTGTATATTCCTTCCCACTATTTCGCTTTTCCAAATCTTGGAATTTCGCATCAATTTCTTGAATCCCGAGCAAATAGAATTTAAGCCAGCTGCCATATTCCCAATAATCCGAGAAACAATAGACCTGCAACTCACGGCTTCCATAAGAGGCGGACAGATTTATTCCGCCAATCCAATTACTAATGTTAGGCAGACAATCTTTTTTCTGCGTTTAAACCGTTAAGTTTGCAAATTCATCCACCCTTTTCTATCTGTTCAATTAGCAAATTGTGGGCATGAATATAGCCATTTAACTACGTTAGTATAATAAATTTGCTTTCCCTACTTCCTATGTAAACAGTCTTTTTACTATCAAGGACCAGTCTTATGCACAAATTTAATTGGCTGCGAGATACATGTGCACGTTAATCCCACGCAAAAAGTGTCACTACGCTCTGCAAGAGGCCTCCCATCACTCGGGATCAATATCTTTATAAAACATAAATATTCTCTGCTGTTAGGAAAAAAACCGCTCATTGAAGGTATTAACATATACTAAACTCAAAGGCTGTTGAGATGAAGGCAGCCTGAGTCACGACAAGTTTGATTCTCCAGTTTAGTTTCAGAGAAATATTGAAAAAGACCATGATGTGGATTTTTTTTTACATCTTTAACAATGCCAACAACAATACAAGAGACTACGCAGATTAAAAAAGTCATTTGAATATTTTCCCCTGATTAAACATCTTTCCATCGAAATCACCTTCCCACATCAGATATTCATTAACAACTTTCCGCGTTTTTTCATCAGCTGGGTCGAGCTTCTTCCAATCATAACTTTCATAATCAACCTTTAAAACGACAATATAATGGCATCTTAAACTTGAAGTTTTGAACTAATAAATGAAATGTTCGTTATTTCCCTACGAGTTAATTTCAATCCATCAAAATTGTCTTTTTGAGAAATTCACTCAACATACCTGCCAATCCGGCGAGAGCTTGAAAGCCAATTCATGTCCTCGCCAAATCCATATTCCAGATATTGTTGAATTGTTATCCGTACCAAATAAGCAAACTGACGCGAAAGCATTTTTCTTCAGTTTCTCTAATCTCTGGAACATCCCTGAAAGCTCGAAATTTACAGATTGTAATTTTCTCCAAGAAATAAAACTGCAAAATTCACAAAATATGATCAGTAGCTCATTTCTTGGTATTTCACTTCCATAATTGTAAGCATAAAATAATATCTTCAAAATCAATTCGCTGTTTATCAGACAAAAATTAGTACTACAGTTACTTACCACTTATGAGGTTACAACTCATAAACGTCAGAGTTAAATCCTCAGGGTATTTATATTCCGAGAACCAAATAGAATAATTTTCCGAATCAAAGTTCTCCCAGAAATAAGGCACTGCTTTTGTAGCTGTATCTTCGTTAGAATAAACTCTCTTGAAGGAATCCATCACAAAACTTCTGAAAAACACAGTTCTTCAGCAAAATGAAACTGGAAAGAAAACTGGTGAACATTTTGGAAAACGTAAACACCAGTCAGTATTTTCATGGAAATTTCTACCCTTTAGGCATAGTAGCGAAAGGATCAACTGATTTTGGTTCTTGAGCTAAGACTCCATCAGCAGCATCCGGTTCATCATCATTCTCGTCCTTTACTCGCTTGGTCTTCTTATCTGAATTTTTCGCAAGGATCTAAGCATACAGCCAGTATTAAAATACTTGAAAATGCATGTATCATTTGAAGAAATGAAATTCACCTTCCTTCTGCTGTTCCTTGCTTTGTTTCCCTTGCTGTTCCTTGTTCCTTCCATCTAAAAAATTCTTCATCACGAGGCACTGCGTAACAAAACTAGAAATTCAAATGTAAAAACCTTAGAAAAACTTCAAGAAGAAATTGGAATTATTGTGAAATTCTGAACCTTTATGACCAGCACGTTCCTTGGACAATTTCGCAGATAATTCTTTGAACTTAGCACCTGAAAAATAATTTCTTATTGCAAAAATCTAGAGCATAGTGAAATGCTCCAGAAACCCCTTATTTTGTAGAAAACCTAGCTTCCTAGAAGCAAGCAACACATATAGATGGCTTAGAATTTAATTTCTCTCAGTAAAGAAGAAGAGATAATTTCCTCAGTAATCTACAAGTGAACAGACCAACGGATTATATTAACTAATGAAACAGCTCTGGTGACGCAATATCTTACGCTTACTATCAAATTTGGAAACTTTTACGGCGAACTGCACTTCTCCAAGAATATCTTTGACAGGTTTTTGGTTAATTATGGTTTTGAACCAGCGGTTAACGTTAATCAGTGACGCACGTGCTGCCTCATCCAAAACATACTGAAAAGTGAAATAAGAATATTCCTTTTCGGATTTCGTTAACAGTTAACTTTTAGTTTGAGCCACAAAACAAATAAGATCACCTGATACGCGGGAAGTAAATCCATCGCCACAGAAATATCAGCAAGAGACATCCTTTCACCGACTAGAAAAGTCCTTGTTAGGAGCATCTCATTCAAACACTTGAGCTGTGTAAGCAATTCGATCTTTGCTGCTTCCAACATCTGGAAAAGTTAATAACGAAAAGCAAGATTATTCAAGTAAGAACAATTCCAAAACCAGATGATCGACAAACTTTCATTAAATATCCGACTGTTAGCTGTTAGTTGTTACAATAAGCGCCCTTCCGATTTTGCTGGAGTTTATTGGCCTCTAGCAGTAAAAGTTACAGAGCACATGAACCACGCTAAGTACCACTATGTTTTGAAATATTACAATCAAATTGATTTCCTACTGACAGAACTTCACCTTATTGTTGAACAGGAGATCAAGGAAAAATGAGTGCATCCGCACCTATATTCCTTTACTCACACGCTAAAGGCACACAACTAAAATAAAGTATCTCAGTGTTATATACCTCATTATCAACATGAGCAGCTGAAACAGTCGGTAATACGTAACCTAAAACATTTGGTATTAGCTGTCCCTCAGACCACTGCATCCATTGTAGTACTTCGGAGCACTATAAGAAATTAGCATTACATCATCTATCAGTGCAGTAAGCAGAACAAGTAGAAATATATAAACAAACAGGAATAACAATGAATACTAAAAATGAAAATAGGTCCACCGAATTGGAAAACAAAAACTATTTCCTAGCCTTACATTAGGTAGTTTCATCGTTTCACCTGCTAAATAAAGCATAATTGCGTCAGCACCGAATAATATGACATCCTTGTCTTCCATTGCTGGAGTCTAAAGAAAAAAAGAGACTTGATTGCTTCATAAAAAGAAAATTAAACATGAAGCGTGAAAAAAAACAGGAAAGATGCAATATTTCTGCTTAAGGTAATACCAAATTACTGAGGCAATACTAAATTCAAGTGATATATCGAGATACCAACCACTCCAAGAGGAAATTTATTTTGTGGAGGCTTTTGATCCAGTACAATGACATCCCTATTACCGACTTTGGCAGCAATCAGAATTTTTAGCATTCGGAAACTTTTTGGGGATCCATAAACTTTCTGAAAAAAAAAGTAATATTAACATTCACACACTACAACTATTATTGATGCTTTACCTACAAGTGCACAAATAGAATGGATAGCGCTGAACTTACACAAGACATTTCCGGGTGAAGAAATCCACAAGTTGAACACAAGTCCTGAAATGACCCACTATAGTGCATGATATTTTTTTAGAGGAATACACGGATGGTGGAGAGCACAACACATTACTTTCGCCTGAGGATGATGACTATGTACAGAAATTAAACAACATGCATGCTTATTTTCCCTTCCAGAAAGAAAACTATCCAATGTCCTTCAAACCCACAATCGGTAAATGATTGTCTAAGCAATTACCCTTCCTGCCATCTGCCCAATGCACTCCGTCTACCAATACCAAACGTCCTTCCCACGTACTTCCATTCCACCCCTAACCCGACGTAACGCTATACCATCCACCAAATCTCTCCTAACAAATAATCCGACAAATGTCCTGTGTCGGCGATGGGCAACGAATGTCTGCCACCTTGACGCATACGATATGAAATATTAAATCCCACAGATTGAATGTGGACATTTGTCTATACCAGCTAACGGGAATGACGTAAATGGGGCTGTGAAGTGTTTTTATTCTCTAAGTGTAAAAGACACTGAAGGAAAGATGGATATACGAAGATAATTGATGTGTGAATTCTAATATACATTTGCTGTAAGGGATAACAATGGCTGAGGAAGATACGGAAACTGTATATATTCTCTCTTATTTGTGGTCGGTGTAGCCATAAGTGTCGAATCTTGATGTTCCTTTCAGTCATGTACAATGACCACACTGTTTTCTGCATTTGTTTTACACGACTCACGATTATAGGATATATAGGATATATTCCATATTTCCATGTACCATATTTTCCTCTTCCTTCTGAAATCCAAATCAAGAAGAAATTGTTTCTGAGCGAAATCTGTATCCCAAACTATCATTAGTCTCTGTCTGGTCTCATTATTACTTAGTCGCTTTATGAGAAGGGCAAATAAGGCGCTGAGAATAATTAAAATGTTTAAATGGACCAGTGATTGGGTAGGTGCAAATCAAGTGTAGATCAAGGAATGAATTTTTGTATATCAGATTCGAATTTCAGTTATTAGTTATTACTCCATAATAGCTTTGCTGATGTATTCGGGTGAATTCGCAGAGCCTCGTCTATTACATTCCAAAGGATTCATACAATTATGCGTCGATAAAAGTGCTACCGACAGTACTGGGGTACGTGTTCTCCCTAGTACCTCTTTTTAGTTTAGATAAATTTTATTTGTTATAAAAGGTATTCGGTCATTTTATGTAAATTTCCTTGTAAGTTCAGACTGAATATGATAGAATCTGAGATAATAATGCTAAGGTATTCCTTTTGGTTGTTGGAGTATCCAACGGTGATCGTCCCTGTCACATGTGGACTTTTTGGCATATTTGGAATCATTGCATAGTTACAGCCAGCAGCTCGCAAAGGTGCGATGTTCGGCACACTTTCGTAGCATTTGAATCAAAGCAGTGCAGCGTACTTCATTGCTCCCTTTTCCTCTTTGTTATGCTTTCAGTAGGAATTGTTTTGCGACAGTTCACCCTAAAAAGTTTGAAGGTTTGAGGAGTGAGCAAAAAGGGTTTTCTGAAGGTTGAATACTTCCAGTTACATTGTATCATTAACATAATATTTTAACTAAATTACTCGAAAAATGAATTCGTCAGTAAGTGACTGTTAATGTAAATATGTTGCGAAGATAAATAATTTAGTCGTTCCTGTCAGTTGGCACAGATGGTGACGTATGGATTTGGACGGGTGATGAGTTGGATGAAGCTGAATACTATCCTAAAAATATCAAAGGAAGAACGCATTCTGCAATAGCTTGGCATGTGAGAACTTTCCGAAATATTTCTTGGAAGTATGTAGGAAGCATCGATGAACAGTTTAGATTCACTAAATTCGAAACTTTCTAAGTGGCTTAAAAACTTCAGGATTTAGAGATCACTTCTTGGGATAAAATATGAAATGTGGCTTATTGAATTGTATGTTTGTTTACCCTCGAGTTTACAGTGTAGCGATTCTAAGTTTACAGTGAGTTTACAATGTTGCTTTATCATCATTGGTCATTGTTATTATCGTCATCATTGTTTATCAGAAAATTATTTTCTAGAGAAATGATGTCTACATCGGGCATACAAATACAGATGATCAAACAGGTATCCAAAAATCAACAGTTTCTCGTTTTGAGAAAGATTCCTTACGGATGATTGCACCAATAACCACTTTTTCACTGGATTTATCTAGCATTGATATATCAAAATCAGGGAAATTTTTGGCTGCTGGTTCTATGTATGTTGATTCTGAATATATTTAACTGCATTACATCTAATTTCTTGTACTGAAATTCTCGAAGTAATTGTTGAATTCAATCTATTGCAGCTCAACATATTTTTGAATGCAGTCTTTATATTTATTTCTTTTGCAGCGATCACGTTTTGAAAGTCATAAATCTCGAAACAGGCGAGGTATTTCGTGCTGAGGCAGATGGACAGATCATGTGTGTTTCATTCAACTCGGAAGATGAATATTTGGCTGTTACAGCAACTGATGGAATGTTACGTGTTTTCAACATAACATTACTGAAGGGTGAGGTTCCCGAACCAGTCACTGTTCGAATTTGCTCGCGTATCATTGACATCGAGTAGGCTACTTTTCTGACTTTTATGAACGGTGTAGATTTTTGTTTTTGTTTATGAATAAATTTTTAATTTGAATACGCTCAAAAAATTTTATTATAGGCCATCCAGCTCGAGGTTGCAGCTGTGTTGGGATCTGTCCGGTGATAGTCTGTTTGTTCCAGCGCTTGGATGTGTTAAAAAATTCAGCAAACATTCGTTTAAAGAAACAGCCAAATTCTTTACTGCATCGAATTCATATGTAATTCATTCACATTTTCGTCACCATTTCACTTACAGTCTGTAAATACTTTGAAAGACAAGCATTTGACAAAAAATGTTTGTCATGTAAATCATTCATCTGACTGAGGAAATTGAAGATATCTTCAGAAGATTAGTGATATACCATAAAACAATCAATTGGTACAGCTGTAATTTTTAAGGAAATGTTCAGCATATGCTGTGTGTCGTCCTGTGGCACATACTTGGCCTCATCAACCGTGAATGGCTCAATTTGTGTTTGGCAAATTGGAACCAGTGATCTTTTAACATGTAGTAAGTATGAGATAAATGGACAACCAAAAGTGATTTGTACTATGTTTTGGCATCATTTGTTGCAGGATACGTTGTTTTTCGCAGATACTGAGGTCAGTGCACTTGTTTGCTGGATTTTAGTTTTATTCTGTTCTGTTCTACCCCTTAATCTGCTAATTATTTTGATCGATATATGAGTTCAGACTTGTTTTACAGTTACTCAGTACAGTGTGAAATGTAGCTTGACACCTCGCATTATATGATGGGGAAATTTTTTCAGAATTTTTGCTTGTAGGAGCACATATGTTCTTTGAGTAATTGCACGAGAAAGGTTACTTCGAATGACTATACCACTACTGATTTGGAATTGCAATGCGGAAGAAACAAAGCTATTGCAAAATTTGACGATGACGAAAATTCGCAGTGTTTGTTGTATTTATTCATTTAATCTTGTCAATTTATTTCTCATTTGCACTTTTTCAGATCTTCCATATCATTATGTAAAGTTTCACCTTGTTTTTTCAGTATCCGCGGATCTGAGTTCAATTAAAAAGTACTACGGATTTGATGAAGGACATTGCCGTGGTGCTGCTGATGAAAGCGAGAAGAATTCTCATATTATCACAACCGCAGAATCTTTTACTTCATATAAACCACCGATTATGCCGAAAGCTTTCGTGACTGGCTCTACTCCTGAGCATCGAAAACAAAGATATTTGGTAAATCTTTTCTCTAAATTTTTTGTTACATATTTGTAAGGATTTCTCGTTCAGCATTGTTTTTGGAAGATAATATTTACAGAAATGGAACCGTTATGGTACAATAATCAGTTCATACAACGGAGATGACGGAAGAATCGAGGTATTTTCAATTTTTGAGGCGATTAGAACAGAAAGTTTGTTACTATTTTTAAGCATTATTTTACATCTGTGGTTTGAATTCTAAACTGAAACACTAGTACTATTGGCAATCGGGTATTTTTCTTTTTTGTTTTCAAATTTCCTATTAGATGAAAGACTAAAAGCTGCATAAAAGGAGGGCTGGATTACATGAACATCAAATTTCGAAACCCCAACTTCAAGGGTAGTGCTGGAATTTACTAGTTTCTTAATGTTTTGGACCGCGTTACCACTGCTTGCCACACTGCCTGCGAAATTATTATAGTTAATTAAATAGTCATTAATAACTTAATTGTCGTCATACTAAAGTAGACAGTGGACAATAATTCGGTCGAAAGCCAGTTTTTATTAAAATTGGTTAGCTTTGGGTTTTTGTTTGCTAACTTTTTGAAGCTTTTTTTTTGAGAGAGTAAGGAATTAACAATACAGATAAATTGGCACGATGCTTCGGTACATCCCGAGATTATCATCGACAATACATCAAATTTCTCCGTTGGTGATATGACTGATGAAATTGTTGCATTGGCATCAAAAGCCGAAGGGGAGAGTTTGAGGTCCTCTTTATTTTTGTTCTCTTAGTTTTCAAAATCATGCTGAAAATAAAAAAAAAAACTAAAAAATGAAAAAATTTTACTAAAAATGAACTAAAAAAAAGTGAAAAAGAAAATGAAGAGAAATAAATGAAGAAATTTTTTATTTTTTTCATTTGTTTTTTACATTTTTTACATTTTTTTTTACTGAAAATGACAAAAATTATAAATCATAGCAAATGGTGGGAATGATGTTTGAAATGATATAAATTATGATCAAAGGTGCCTTTGCAGTGAAGTGAGGGTACAGTGTATTAAAGCCTGGGATTATGGTTCAAGGCAATGGAGCATAATGTTACCAGAGGGTGAATCTGTTGAAAATATAGTCATAGGGAGAGCATTTCTTGTTCTGGCCACATCGCAACGATATTTTCGAACCTTTTCGCATGCTGGGACCCAAAAAATGGTTTTTTGTTATTCAGGTAACTTGTCGTGTTTAACGAATTTTCTCTTTTGAATAGTTCTTGGGAGGAATGAGTATGAGGTAAGATAAATAAAATAAAGAAATAATGCGATAAATAAGAATGAAAAATAAAAAATGACAAAAAAAATTCCAAAGAAAAAATTTTTTTCATGGAAAAAAAGTAATGAGAATATTCCTCTGATATATATTTGTCTATAAGTTTAGGCCCTTTGCTTACTATGTGTGCATTCAACGATATTTTTACGGCTGTGGTGTTGAGTGGTGGCCCTTATTATGAAGACGCTGAACCACAGTTTAATGTATCTTTTCGAGTTTTTTTTTTTTACCTTTTTCATTTAAGACTAATTCGGAAATTGATTTCGCATGTAGAAACTATCCATTTTTTTAATTTAGTTTGTGGCAAGTATTTACAAAATGAAAACTGAAGGCTGGCATAAATATCAGTCTTTGGTACAAACTGTTCCTATCAGTGTGAGTCGCAATGCCAAGTTGGATTGGATTGGTTACACAAATCGTGGAACACTATGTACAATGGATAGCAAGTGTATGTTTTGTTGCCTTTATGTCCTCTATCATATTTGTGCAATAATTAGTTAAGGTATTTGTATTTGTACAATAATTAGTTTGGTACAAACTGTTTTTATCAGTGTGGGTCGCAAAGCCGAATTGGATTTCCAAATTGGATTTTTTTTTGGTCATCTTATAGGAAAAATTAGGCTTACAAAACTGGGCCACTGGTCTGTCTGCAGCGAATGAATAAATCATCTAACTGAACAGATTTGCTGAATTTCTTTTAGCTTTAGATTTTATGATACTCATGGATGTCAGTTGCTTGAGAAAGTAATTTTTATCCACTTCTGTACGATATCTCTGTAACTAATCAGATTCAAATTACATCTGTTATAATCAGTCATCGAATAGCTCTGGTTTCAGATTGCTGTCGGATTCTTTCCTCCAATGGGCTTTGGATTCCTGTTTATGATTTTGCTAGTAGTCTCAAAACTAATTCAGACCATATATTTTTGATTAGCTTTATGGATTATCCACATTGTGAAGTTCGTTATGTATACTGTCGAGGAATGGAATATCCTTTAATTGAAAGTCGCTTAGTTCCAGCAGTTGTTAAGTGGCAACTTCCACTGTGTAATCAGGTATACATTGCTTTTGCCGATATTTTCACAATATTTTTCGTCAAGAGTAAGATGAAAGTGAACAAAATTTGCGATGGGTTTCAAAAAAAGATTTTAGTTCTTTTGTTTCCTGATTAGTGATTAATCACTAAAAATTTTGCACCCAGGATTCAGAAAAATCGAGACTTGAAGAAAAGCTTTTGTTAGCTGAAATTCGGAAGTGTGCGTTAAACAGCGACGATGAGGGCGAGAAGAAATCCGAACTTCTAGTTTGTCTTTCTCTTTATTTTTTCTTTTGAATTACTTTTGAGAATTGTGAACATGTTTTTTTAAAAAAAATTTATTAAGGCCCGAAAAATTTGTTTCCTTTCATACAAAACTTCTATCGACATCTCCGTAAAGCTTTACAGGATATTTCGATGGCATACGCGAAAGACGTTGTTCGATTATTCGCACTTGCATGTAAGGCTGGTCGTCAGTGTCGTGCAGCAGAATTCGCTACATACACACATTCTGGACAAATTGTCCAGTCCATGTGCAATTTTGCTTCTAAAACTCGACATCCTTTACTTGCAGAGAAGGTTGTTTCAATTACTTTTTACTTACTATTAAATTAATATCACATATCTTGTGAGAAAGAAAAATTATACTTTAAGATTGAAATTAGAAAGATTTTTCTGAAGTAAAATTAGGACGATTGTTTTGCAGATTTTTTTTTAATAGTAAAAATGAAGTCATGTAACTTGAATTCCTTTCGGTAAGTTACTAGTGGAAGAGTCAGTGTTTCTTCAGTGTTTTTAAAGATTTACTTCGGAACAACAAATCTTATTTATAGGTTGCTGAAATCGGAAGAATAAATGCTGCTGAACGGCAGAATGTAACACAAGATGAACATCAGCGAAAGAGAAGTATTCTGTTAGAAGATAAGAAAAAAAACGATTTTTTGGCACCAAAACGATCAAAAAAGGTGGACAGTCAACCTATTGGTTGTGCATTGATAAGAGACATGTCGTCATTTTTCAAATTCTGTGAAGTGTATAGTTTCTTTAAGCAAATTTCATTAATCACAGGACCGCATCTTGGACGAAGTTGCTGTCAAAGCAGTGCGGCAGGAAGGAGAACAAGAGGAAAATGAATATACGCATGACTTAGATTCGACTCTGAGTAATAAATCATCCTCAGTATTCTTACTTCCTGTTCGACCAAGGCTACCTTCTAACCCCTTCAAAGTACAGTATCATTTTGTTACCAGAAACTGATACTTTTGTATCATGGATTATATCAATTTAGTTGAATAATTAAGAAAACTGATCTTTCAGTTGAAGAATCAGATAAAATCTGAGAGCTAAAGTTTTGCAAGTTGTAGTTTACTTGATTACATTTTGTCCTTGAGTTCTATTTATACTCAACGATTACATTTTGTTCCTTCAGTTCCTGAGTTTTATTTATACTCTTAGTTTTTTATTTATACTCTTAGTTTACAGCGCAAATCGCAGAATATATTTGGTTCAAGTCAAGATAATTTTTTCGATTCATTAGCTTCTGCGTCTACAGCTACGCGAAAGACGAGTGATAATACTAGCGATTGGAAGAAAATGAAAAGAGAGGTTGCTTAGAATGTAAATGATGTCATGTTTGCTGAATTTAAGTGCACGTATTTTCACAAGCTGAAGTTGACATGTATAGTTGAAATGAGTGAATTTTACTGTGTAAACTATGAAATCAATTTCCCTATATTGTCTTTGCTACAACTCTGTATTTCAGCCATCAAAAGTTCGACAGACTTCACTACCTGTGAAACTCATTGAAGAAAAGTAAGCGGTGTTTTTCATTTTTAAGTGTATTTCATGGACCCAAGATTTCGTAATTCAGGATTTAAGAAAATATATATATTCAATTTGTAAATCGGATAGATGCCACAAACTCTAGGTTTTATCAGGTTTTCTTGACAACTTGGTTTTTCGAAGTTTTGCGACTAGTCTCTTCATTTTTATTTCCAGTTGAGGAAGTCTTTCAACTAAGCTTCTGTTAAGCTGAATTAATTCAATCAATAGTTTAGAGAAATGGATGACGCGAAAACAGGATTCGGATTATGGTTAAAATCTGTAGAAAGTAAATTGAAAGAAGATTATGATGGATACGAAGACTTCTTAGAATATGCTATCAAACAGTTTCGGCATTTAAAAACTGAAGAAAAGCGGGTAAGGCTTCTCTAATGCTTCTACAAGTTTCTCAGAAATGAAAATTTTGTATCGAATCATGGCGGAGGAAGAATTGTTTGTTTAAACAATTTTTTAATTTAAGCACTGGAACGACCTGGCTCAAGCTTCCTGAACCTGAAATATTTGTTGTCCAGTGGTGATTGGTCTAGATTTTTTCTACGGTTTCGTTGCTCTATGTGGAAATTCTTTCTAGTACAAAATTGTTATACGTAATAGATTATCACAGTTTTATTTTTAAACCAACTGATTTATTTATTGGTTGAGGTCCAATTATTTTAGCCATGGAACTGGTTTTTATTGAATGGTATTAGCTTTTAAAATGAATATCTCATCATGTTTTCCATTGAAAACTGCTTTGCATATTTTCAGCATCATTTAGCGACTTCTTTTTTGTTCCGCACATTTTTTTTTAAAAGTTTATTTGCACCAACTATTGCTTTATTTGATAAATTTTTGGAAAAAAGTCGATGACTTTGTAGAATTCCCGAATCATTTAGTATGCATGTGGTTTTTTTCTTGTATTTTGCGTAATTATTTTGATTTTCGCTATATTTAAACTTATTTAAAGATTTCTAATATAAGGCTCCAAAAATTTTCTACCTCGTATTAACAGAAAAAAATAGGGTTTACTGTTTCACCTGCTTGTCTGTTGTCTTCCATGAGATACGTAGTCAGCATATATAAAAATTATATTAAGTTATAGACAATGAAATTTAAAACAGTCGTAAGTGCCAATAAGTGCCGTAAGTGATGAATAAAACGTTTTATTAATTTTAGTAGGGTGCATGTTATACCGTCAATAGTCATTAGCAGACACAAGGATTGTAATTTATGCTGTGCAATTACAGTTAAAAATTGGCGAGAAAGATAATTCTCAGCTATGTATTTTCTTTGAAAATGTTTGCACTAGTTTTGTTATATCAACTTTTAAGACAAAAAATACTGCAGTTCCATTGCAAGAGATCTTCCAGTCAGCTTTCTTGTGATACACCGAATTTCTTTTAAAGTTAGAAAGGTTTCGAAGAACAAACGGTTTTCCTTTGATTAAGTGGATTTTGACGTTGCATCAGTCAGTTCTTTGTCGACTTTATTTGTTCTGTAGGAAGTAAATATTGCTGCAAAAAATGTTATGCCGTGAAAAAAAAAGTTAAAGAAATTAGAAGGTATTACATATAGTTTTTTTAAAGATATGATAAGTAGTGTTATCTGCAAATTATGATTGCGGATATCTGCACCACTGAAAAGCATGTCTAAAATGCGTGTGACTGGAAAAACAAGGTTCGTAAATACTTACAGCTTTGCTTTGTCGAGTATTTGTTGCTAACTTCCCTGTCTTTAGCTCTTTGTAGAATTTAACCTGATTCCATCCATTCCTATTTTTACCTTCCTTTTTTCTCTTTATTTTTACGATACGTTTCTCGTTTCTAAACAATTTCAGTTCCGTTATCTCCATATCAGATGAATAATTTGCCTTCTTGATTATAACTGGTTGCTTTGGAAAATCCATCAAAATTATCAAGTCAGGCGAAAAAAAATTTGCCCATTTTATGGCGAACTGGATAATTGACCTCAGACAATTGAGCATATGAAGATAGTTACTATGCAAGCCTTGCAAGACACCTGTTACTGTAGTATAATATGCATCAAAATATCAAAGCCGCTCTACAGACACACTATTTTCTCTTTTAACCTTTTTATCCATTTTCTTCCCTTTTGTGCATTCAGAGTCTTATTATCGTTATGGAAGACTTTTTGGCTTCATTTCTGCTGAGTACCTATGGATTAGTGTCATGTAGTAGATATTCGCTTCCTACAGATTTCAGTGATGTTTTTCTAGTTTACTCTATGGAATATATCACATTACAGCGTTCTGAAATGTGAATTTGCCATCGTTCATTAATATCATGTTCAAAGAACAAAAATTCTCTTGTCGAGCAGTGTTACTGGCATTTTCATCAAGATAAACTGATGATAAAATGGGTGGGTGAAAAAGTTAATTATGGAGATGTCGATATATAATTGTTAAGGACATGAGTGAATTTAGTTTTGATTATTTACTAAACGGATTTGACACCTCTCAAATTCTTTCCGTGAACTCAACAGTACTTGATGATGGAATAAGGAAGTAAAACGTGGAGGAAAGCTAACGAAAAGAAGAAAAGTGAAAAAAAATTTTTGCTTTTAGTGGCTTATTTTTTTATAGGAAAGTAATCGCATTATTTTCCCATTTTTTGGCCAAAAAAGCGCATTTTTTGATATTTGCCACCAAAAATGACGCCGAACGTTTCTAATAAACTGCCAATGTAATGTATATTTCATATGTCATGACCGAATGTTTTAAAGGAAAATCAAATCTCCCACCAAGGAAAAGTTTTTTACTGCAACAAAAGAAAATTCTTTTACTTTTTTATATGAAAATCAAAGGTTAATCAATGACTGAATGACAAACCACCTGAGGTAGATTTGCTAAATTTTTAGATGTGGAGTCAGTAGGGATAACTCTAGTGTACTGTTAGGTAGTTATGTGATCAATGGGACTATAAGTCATGCCACTGCAATAAAAAAAAAAAACTGTTAACGAAATCCGAAAAAGACGAGCTATCCATATCCGGGCCTATGTTTTATCCATATCTGGTATTCACACCCTTTTCCTAAACTATATTGGTATATTCTAAATGAGATTGGGATAGAATTATTTCTCGGCTCACAGTATGTCTAATTCTCTCCCTTTTCAAATTAAAAAACGGAATGTAGTCATCGGAATGGCAAATGTGAAGCTGGGTATTAATGTGATGAACCGTTGGCGAATAATTCATTTCACCGACACAAAAAATTTTAGCAGTAAACAGAGATGAAACGAGGACAGGGACTCAGGCTTTACAATTCAAGAACCAGATTGAACCGGAGAGTTCATAGGACTGCATTCTCGTTGCACCGATGAAATAATGTTAGAGCTTTGAGAGAAAAAGAAACGATCACTGTCTACAATTTTTTATTGTACAATCTTTTTTTACAGGAACAATTAAGGAACAGTTGCTACACAAAAAAGTTCTAAAAAAAGCGAAGCTTATATGTGAAGTGACACTGATAGGCTAAACGACCGTTCCCAAATGCTTTTTCAATTAATCTGGCTGCTTTCCAGTTGTTTTATCTCTAACTTGATTTTTGGTATACAAACTTTTTTTTATTCTATATATTCATGCTTCCACGATGTTTTATTATCCTGATCTCAGTTAATTACGGATTAGATGAAAAGAACTTTGCAAGACCGGTTTCTCTTTCATGAATGATATGATATAATTGATCCAATTCATTGCGAGAATGTTCTCGAGTAAAATGATAGGTTTAGATCAAATGATATCAATGATGGAAGCTTGTTTATTTTCGCATTGTTTTTTCATTTGATTATTGTTAAATGCGGAAAAGTCCCCGTTGGCCAATTGTTCAAAAATATCTTTCAAAATCATTGGTTTAAAATTCACTTAAATTAGTTTTGTCGACAACATAAAATTTTAAAACTCACACGATGGAAATTGCTAGTACTTTCAACTATTTATACTTATAGCTCACGCTTGTTATTACTGCGTTTCATATGCACATTTGTTGGGACCAAATTTGCGATACCAACTTGGTGCTCAAAGAGATACTTTCCATTGGCCTGCAGATGCGTCTTCGCCAACCTGCTCTAATCCATCACTGGCCAAGAATTCTAATCACTTTCATGGGCAACTATGCACCAAATTCCCACTCTGCACGACGTTATCGCTTAACATCGCAAGTATTTGTTTGATCATTTTCCAGTTATATTCAACACCTCTCCCTGAAACCCATTAATTCCGGTTGAACCATCCCACAGGACAACAACGACATACATATATTGCTTCAAAGAAACAGTAAAACTTGTATGAAAATCAATAAAGACCAATGAAATCGAACCTAAATACTTGCCTGCTTTTTCTTCAGATGTAAGTTTTGTCGTCCGTGGATGTATGGAGCAAATACTTGTCACTAAATTAAGGATTAATGCAAAGTTCCAAAAAAATGGGTTAATGCTTTTCAGAGTTTACATTATTGTTCCTACAAATTTTCTTTAGTTTTTCACAAATTTCCAATACTAGAGCATTTTATTAATTTATACTGAAAAATTCTTTAACCGATAGTGCGAATAGCATTTACTGATTGCTGATGTCAAAATCAACTGAGAAAAAATTCTTTTCAGTGCTTATTTAAGCAGAAATATAAAAGTTGAGTCAGTCAGGATTAAAGCCATCAGAAGTAACTGATTTTCAGATGTCATATAGTTCGTTCGAAGCGATTTTATTTGACGCTTGCTCCTTTGGATTATATCATTTGCGTTTGCTCTACTGAATACTGTAATTCTGATGTGCAAAATCCGTTCGTACACGCTAATCATTCTGAATCTCAGTCTCTTAATTTAGTGTCCACTGTTGAAGGTAAACGTCTAGGACAAAGTGTTACTGTTGAAATTCATGATTTGGCAGCTACCTTGAATTTATTACCTGCATTTGTTGTTAGTTTGTTCTTACGAATGTTCTATACTGTGTAAAATAATGTTCTGCACTGCATTTAGAAACAAATCAAACTTTGAATTTAAATTATTCCCCAGCAATTACGATCTGATTTGTATCTAAAAATTTAAATACAAACTTATACACGTGTAGGACATCCATTTCAAGCCACATTAATTGTAATCAAAAACATATTAAGTTTAACGGATCTTTATCCTCACTCTAATGAAAAAGAAAAAAGATACAGAGACTTGTTCATTCCAAATAATTTAAAGTGGCCAAAAGTTTAGTTTTTGAATTTTGTTCCATCGATTTTTCGCCTTCCTCAGAATATAATGAACTACTTCATAGTTTTTCATTTCAATTACCAGTGATTTCCAGTGATAGTGCTGCCAATGAAGGATTTTATTTATCGTAGAGCCATTTACGATTTTCACTTCAATTCATTAAATTCAATTCTTTCCATCCTTCACATTTGTTTTTCAGTGGGGAATGAGTTAACTAGAAGTTTAACCTCCTCAGCTTTAGATGTCGTAGTTTTTTTCTTCTGTGTTCAAGTAGTCAAAAATCTCTGCCTTATTTTCTTGTGTTAATAAAAAAACATGCCACCAGAACGAACTCTTGTTACTATGATTTGTTATAGATTTAAAGCAAGTATTTCTATCCAAATGCTTTTTCACTTCCAAACAAGATGAAATTCCAAGATAAAAAATTGCTTAAAGCTGAATGGTCCTCTCCTACATCGTCAAGCAATCTTTGGTATTAAATGTTTCTTGTCTCAAAATTTGATTTAACAGAAAACGGATTGCCTTTTGAGCTTTTCGTAAACTTTAGTGCAGTTTCTCTTGATGTACATGTGATGTATGTATATGTTGCCGCGAACTTCGAATGTCGCGAAGCTCTAAATGAAATAAAATGATTAAATAAACCAATATACAAATCAATCACACAAATTGTAACAATGTCATGAATCATTTAACCAATTTTACATTCCTCGAATTCATTGTCTCATGCGTTTTTCTTTGTTATCTTTATCTAAGTTCACATCCTTTCTTTTTTATGGAACAAAGCACACTCGTAAGCTAAATTTTCTTGTCTGAGAACCAATCTTAATTGCAATGCTTAATGTTGCAAACAGAGTGTTTTGTTGTAATCGGATTTTGACAGTTTTTTTTTATCCAAAGGAAAATCTGATGTAATGTTTGTTACAGACCACACCCCCAAATATGCTCATTGTGTTAATTAAAATTGTATATATACTCAAGGCTATAACTGAGAAGGATTTTTTTTTTCTCCTTTTTCAAACACTTAACCAACGACTTCACCGTACATTATATCCTCTACTCTCTTCGATAAATTTTACTACTATCCTCTGCGTTATTACAATTTACTATCTTCTGCGAATAAATA